CAATTTTTAAAAAATTACTTTTTAAAAATTCAAAAGGGCAATGAACAACAACAACATAAATCTTAATGGGGCCTCCTCCCCCAAAATTCAAGAACTTATGAGTATCTTCTTGGGGCCAGGAACTTCTTTGCTATGGATACAAAATAGTTTTCTTTTTTATGGGTACCAATATTTCATCACTATGAATCTTTACAGCTTAAACCATTTAGCTTGTTTCCATTTATTATTAAACAGTTACATAAAGAGAATGAAGTCCTGACACATGGTACAACATGAATGAACCTTGAAAACATGCTGCATGAAATAAGTCAGTCACAGAAGAAATACTGTATGATTCCACTTAGATGAACTATCTAGAGTAGACAAATGCATAGTGATCAAAGTTATTAGTGGTTATCAGGCAGGTGAGAGTGAAGGGATAAAGAGGATGTAATGCTTAGGGGACATTGAGCTTCTGTTAAGAGTGATGGAAAAATTTAGGAATGTTAATGTGTTTGATCAACATGATGAACATACTGTTTCTCAACTGTGCATGTGGTTAAAATGGCAAATGTTTTGTTATCTATATCTTATGATAATTTAGAAGAACCATTTGTGCACTAAGTTATTTTCAATAAGAAATGAATATTTTAGGATAGATTCTCTAAAGTAGAATTTCTATGGATAAACTGGTTGGGTGGTTGATATGTAACCATGTTGCTTGCTTGTGGGAAGGAGCAGTCCAAGTGCTGCCTTTTCCTGTAACCCATGAGTCAACCTTGTGTTTAGGACCAGAGGTGTCAGCCTGGCTTCTTGGGGTGTGTGGGCTGACTCCTTTTCTGGAGCGTTTTGACCCAAAACATATCCCACAGCACATGGTGGCCTATCAGCAAATCCCTCCCCTCTTGCTCTGAGCACATGCCAACATTCCCAGGAACTGTTTACCTAAGCTTGTACTTTTTTTTTTTTTGTTTTTTTATTGTGGTTTGGATGAAAGTTTTCAGAGCTAATTCACTTTGCTCTGTCTCTTCTAAATGCTAATAAAACATTGTTCCATTCAGTTCCTATGTGTGTGCCAACACTTGCACACCATGGAGTAGGTTACTAGACGCCTATCCTCTGCTACTAGGACTCCTCCTTTTGAGGTGGTAGCAGGTGTCGCTTGACATTTCTGCAACGTTTTTCAGTTTGTTTTACTAGTGTATGCTGACCAGCGGTGTGTGTTGTTCACAGCATCCTCCTGAGTATAATCATGTTTCAATTCTGATAAGTAAGTAGGTGGTCAAACATTCAGCCTTGACTATTGAGGCAGAGTTTTTATTAATCTGTATTAACCATGGATAGTAACATATATAGGTTATTCATAGGTCCTTTGTTCATTTAGCTATTTCTTCCTTGATTGTTGTTCCAGTTCTAAGTTGGGGGGATGGGAAAGCTCAGGGAAAGGCCAGACCTACTTGGGAGTACAGAGCCCTAGTCTACTCATCTGATGAAGGACTGGATGCGTTTTAGTTTTATCAAAATCACACATGTACATTGCTTAAAAATTCGAATAAATGAAAAACAACTCCTGTCCCTGCCCTCCGCACTCCTGTACCTTGCGGGCAACCGCTTCCACTAACCTGAGTTCGTTCTTCTGCAGCCTGTTGCCATGATTCTGAACAGCTAAGCCCGTTTTCCATTTTAGATATTCTCTCTTGAATCTTGTGAAATTTGAGGCTTTTGCTATCTGATGCACACATCTTCCCAAGACACACATGCTTTATCTTCCAATATGGTTACAGAACACCATATATTCACAGATCAATCCTATAGTGTGCTACATTTAATTTCTTATACAACTTTTTTATTTCATTTTTTTTGGAGTTAATATATGCCTCTCATTATTCACTTGCTTTACTATATATGTATATATAAAAAAGAAACCAAACTCACTGCCCTTGAGTCGATTCCAACTCATAGCGACTCCCTTTGGGTTTCCAAGGTGGTAAATCTTTACGGAAGTAGATTGCCCAGTCTTCCTTCTGTGGAGTGGCTGGTGGGTTTGAACCGTCAGCCTTCTGGTTAGCAGTCAAATACCTTAGGCACTGCATCACCAGAGCTCCTCTTTCTTTCTTTCTTTCTTTTAATGCATTTTATTGAAATATAATTTATGTACAGTGAAATACACAAAACTAAAGTGACATGGGTCAATGCATTCTTTTTTTTTTTATGGCAGTGTTCCCTCCACCTCCCTTTCCCTCCCCTCCCCTCCCCTCCTACCCCTGGCAACCAACAAAGAAAGTTTCTCTCCATATATAAACCTTTCCTTGACCCTCCACAACAATGAACTAATACTGTATTTGTCCTGTGGTTGACTTATTTCACTCAAGAGCTCCTATTTCGAATTCATCACCAACTATCTGACAAAGCTGTGAAAGTCCTCTACATAGACTCCCACACAACAATCAATTCATGATTTTCATATTTTTTGGGGGTACAGATCTGAAACTACTCTCTCCCTGCACTTTGGACTGACTGCTGCCAGGGCTTCCTCTGACTCATCAGCAGGGTCGGGCAGATTACCAAATAGGCAAAGGTAAGCACAGTTTACTTGTGCTTACTTATTGATCTGCAGGGAATAATTTCACATATGGGGCAACCCAGGTGAAATTGTTCCCTACCGATTAGGAAGCAAGCACAAATAAGCCCGTGCTTACTTTGCTTATTGGGTAGTCTGCCCTTGCTATCGGAAATGAGGCTCTTTGTGCAAATTAGACAAAGCCATGGCTCTGGGCAGATGCACACTTGCGGGCATGCAGGGCACCCTTTCGCCGCCAGCCTGCTCAACCCCAGGCAGCAGCAGGCCTGTCATACAGCTGCTCCCAGAGCTTGTGAGATGAGGCTAGTGTTGACCTGAAGAACTACCAGCTCCAGCTGAACTCTGCCTTGCTGGAAAGCAGATCTTCTGATCTTTAAAAGAGGAGGCTAGAAAAATCTAGGTTTTTATGTGAAGTCTTCTGATTTTAAAATATTGGCATAATTGTTTTTAACTGTTTATGAACCAATTAAAACACATCTGTGGGAAGGGCAGTGTATACACAGGGAAACTGCTCAGGGGGCAGGAGTGCATAGGAGGGAAGAGGTAACTATGGGGAGGAAGTGGGAAGAGAGCTGTTACATTGTGGGAAATTGCAGTCAATGTCATGAGACAAAATATGTATGAGTTGCTGTATGGAAAATGAAATTGCTCTGTAGACTTTCACCCAAATCATGATTTAAAAAACAAACCAACCAACCCACATCTGTGGGCTAGAGTTACTGGCAGATATTTCCTCTTAAGAGAATAATCACAGATGGCAAATAAGCACATGAAAAATTGTTCGACATTACTAGGCATTGTTATGTGCCGTAGAGTCGGACTCGACTCATAGTGACCTCTCTTTGGGTTTCCGAGGCAGTATCACTACGGAAGCACATTGCCCCATCTTCCTTCCAAGGAGTGACTGCTGGGTTTGAACCGCCAGCCTTCTGGTTAGCAGTCAAGTGCCTTAGGCACTATGCTACCAGAGTAAATTACACCACAATGAGATCTCATTACATAGCTATCAGAATGGCTCAAACAAAAAGCTAATAACATTAAATGCTGGCAAGAA